GATTATTATTTTTGTTTGTTTTAGAGGCTATACAGTGCTCTGTAGATGTTTTTGTAGCCTGATAGGTTGATGCAGTTTAATGACTGTCCTTTCAAAAAAGGAAAGGTTAAGCTGGAGTTAAAAACTAAAACAATGGGTTTCTAATTAATTTAATAGGGAACACACTTTATTTTTAAAAGCAAATATGTTTATTGAAGACCAATAAAATAGGTCATACTGATTTATATATATTTTGTTTTGTTTTTTTTACTGCAGAGAGATACATTGAACTGAGAAATATAATTTTTTCAAGGTTATGCACAGTTTGTTTCAGCTGTTTTTTCCTCTTAAATTGGACAACTCTTTATTTAAAATTTGCTGAAGCTGATTAAAATATGCAGAACACTAACTAAAAGTAGGAAAATGCTATCAGGAAGCAAAATGCTAAAGAAAAGCCAAAAGTAATGCTTTCTAAAAGTATCAGAAACTAGATTAATGTAGCAAAAAATCTTGTTGAAAGGTGTTAAACTTGCTATAGCTGAGAAGTGAAATTCTGAAATGAACAACTCTGAATTTCTTTTTACTGAAAACATTATGAGCTACTCGAAAATACACCAGAATAGGCATCACGTGTCTGTGGCTTTTACATAGCAAATCTGGTTACAGTCAGGATGGCCGAGCGGTCTAAGGCACTGYGTTCAGGTCGYAGTCTCCCCCGGAGGCGTGGGTTGAAATCCCACTTCTGACAGAACAATTTTTAGGTCAGTTGTGCGATTTTACTGAAAAATGTCCAATCCACCCAGATTTCACTTCAACAAAAGCTACASTGAAATAAAGAAAGAAAGAAAGAAAGAATTTAGACAAAAAATACTGGTTTCTTAGATTAAAATCAGAATCAAACACAATTTTCTTTTCACTTAAACCATTGAGACATTACCTCAAAATGTAAAATCACAGCATGTAATCAGTAAAACACTCCTAAAAGGAGGTTTTCTACGGAGCCCGCGAGGGGACATGGGGGAYTTTTTTTCCCTTTTGCGTTCCCTCGCAATATTGTTTTGCGTTCCCACGCAAAAGTTTGTTTTGTATATGAACTGAATTAAATCAGACTTTTATTTTGAAATATCCGGTTACCAAAACTGGAGGTGTCACCACAAGTTCGTGACATTAACATTTAGATGTTGCGTGGCTGACATACTTCCATGCATAATTGTGTGATATATTCATTCTGAAGCTCAATTAAAGCAGTAGGCTAACTCAATAATGGTGAACATGTGAATTTGTTAACAAACCAGCAGGCACAACTGTGATAAACTACTTTTGCGAGGGAACGCAAAAGGTATTGCGAGGTAACGCAATACTWTTGCGTGGGAACGCAAAAGAAAAATAAACTCCTGTGTCCCCTCGTGGGCTCCGTATTTTTCAGAAAACCTTGACAGAATTGTTACAGTATAATGAAAAAGACAAACAAACACTAGTTTTAACTAAATAACTAAATACTTTATTTAATAAGCATATTGTTAGTTGTTTTTTAAACATTTACAAATACGTTCAGATTGCATAAAATGAATTATTCTTCTACATTTTCAAAATGTTTGGCATGTATTATAATACATTATGTTTTTCCGCACATCTTTGCATCAAGGCAGGTTGATTTTAATGTGAAGCCTGATATTATGTGAACCTTGCAGCTCATCTGTTCAATATGTTCTGTGATGCTCATTGCTCTCACGGGCTATACTTCTAACAGGTGTTTTTTTCCCCACTAATCCAGTCTTTTCCCACTTTGAACCACATCTGGACGATCAGCATCTGCCCAACAAAAAGGAAAGCACATATTTGTGATACATGAACTGCTGAAGCTGGCTGCAGCTCTGACATCAACTCAAACCAGACGGATTCAGCAGATGATRAGGTTTATTCACAATTTTCAGTGACCAGAGTAAACACGTGAGACTTGAGCGGGCCTTTTGACGCTTAAACTCGCATTTACGCGTAACTCATGCTGGAGATGTCGACGTYGTTGCATCAGCTGTGACGGACAGACTCGCACTGTGATTTAACACCTGCTCTTGTGCAACGAAGTGAGGTCAGAGGGCAGGTCTCGCATGTCTTCAGAGGCGGAGGCCCTCCGCACACACTCACATCACCTTCGCCCATCAGCACGCCCACGCCCCTCCCGGTCCGTTTTGAGAAGTTCCAGAGACCGCCGTCCAATCGCTCACGTCCACACCTAATGCGTCCTGACAGATGAATGTACGCACAGCCTGCCAGCGTTGTATCACATTCATCTGAGAAAACAAATAAGGAGGGATGCGGACAAACTTAAACAAATAGAGAGCAGAGCCACGCTGCCAAATCCCTGACAGAGATAACAGGTGAAAAATGGAGTGTGAGCTGAGGAAAGTGTTTCCAAATGTACAGTCAGCTGAGGCCTTCCTGTCATTTAGCCCATGCTGCCGTCTAGTGGTGCAGGGTTTATTCTCAAGCAGAATCTATAGAGGCAAATACTGGTTTGCAGGGGGTGAAATGCATTAAATTTGATTAGAATGAATAAAAAAACAGCAATTTGTCTACTTTTTTTTGTTTAGTTTTGTAGTTCCCTGAGTATACAGCTGTAAATCCAGCAAAGTGTGCATTAACCAGAAATATAATGCTTTTAAATCCTTCTTTTTTCACATTTCTTTAATGCTTTGGTCTGAATTCCTCCTTGCTGTAACTCCACAAGACCCTCTTTCACTTTTTCTGAGGTGTGTCCCAGATCAACTCATTTTAATACTGTCTCTTTAAAGGCACAGTGTGTAGGATTTTGTCAATTCTTTTAGCYGAAATTGAGATAATCACTAATGACAATAATAAAAAAAATATGTCTAATCATTGCAGACAAAGACCTTGTTTAATTATTTTTACCTTATAAAAAGCTGTTTATATCTCCATGGTCGCGGGTCGCCACACAGGCAGCCGCCATCTTGCACCGCCATCTTGTCCACGAAGGCTCATGATGGACAAACTGCGGTGGCGGTGTCAAAAACAGTTTTAGTTGTAATACTATACAGTAAATGTAATATTTGTTGTCTGTCATTGTAGCTGGGATAATTTTACTTATTAAAGCTCATAATCTTACCACTTGAAACATCACTAGCCCTGAAGCTGCTGGTAGACATCGCGGTTGGAATTATCGAAGGCTTTTGACACCTGAGAGACACCGTAGCAACTCCTTTGTGTTTGGAAGCGGGGGGTGGGGGTGGGGGGAGGACCAGGGAGGAGGATGATTCAACCACTCAACCACTAGATGTCRCTGAAAACAACAAATCCTACACACTGTGCCTTTAAATGCAAATGAGGCGCTTCAAACCCCGCCCCTCCTCCAGCTTCCGGACCAGTCCATTCTAGTTTAATAGAGGGGTTTACAACCAGAATTGTAAAGTAACTAAGTACAAATACTTTTTTTTCTGTACTTAAGTAGAAATTTTGGTAATCTGTACTATATTTGAGTAATTGCTTTTCAGCCTACTTTTTACTTCTACTCCTTACATTTTCACACAATTATCTGTACTTTCTATTTATACATTTTTTAAAAAGGCAAGAAGTAGAAAGTTGTTATTCCTATTTCATTCCAGCTGGTTCTTGTTCTTGTTGAATTTTGCCTCCTGGGTAGAGTGAATTTAATTGTAGTAAAAGCCCTGTCACACTATGTTTTATCTTATCCCAACTTATGAAACTTATAATGACATCAACGTTGAAGATGATTTTTTTTTAAATGAGTTGGAAGCCTGGTTTAGGCGTGTACGTAGTGTAATGCTAACAAACTGATCAAATTACTTTTATTAGTCATTTTGACTTCAAAAATGACTAATTTGACCTTCAGATGAAAAGTAAAAATATATCATTCTGACACAGTATTAGTTTGTACATTCCATCACAGCTGCACGTCTTTAGAAAAATGTTTTTTTGGGGACGTCACCTCCCAATAAATGTCATTTTGGAAAATCTAACCGCTCATTCTTACTTAATATTATTAAGTATATTTTATGTCATAAATTTACTTTTGATACTGAAGAACAACAACAAAAAAATCAGATACTTTAAGACTTTTACTCAAGTAATATTCTTGGAGGTGACGAACTTTTACCAAAGTAATTTTATAAGAGTATTTTTACTCAAGTATCACTTTGAGGTACTTCATACAACACTGTTAACGACTATACAGCAGCACAGACTTTTTTATTTACAAATGAATGTCAACATGTCAACCGTGGAGGACTTGTCCAACCAGCCTTACATGATCTGAGCTGAGGCAGCTCTGATGACTCTTTATACTGTTTCAACATACAGATGTTATCTAACAATGACCTCATTTCCAGCTTTGTACTGGTTCAAGATAGGAAAATAACAGATAAATTACATCAGATTTTGTCCTGGCCAAAAATATCCCCTTCTACTGATAATCAAGGGAACAGATTAAAACACAGTGAAGCAGTTGTTATCGGGACAGTAGAAATTTTTTTTCCATTACAAGTGAACTAAATGATTACAATGTGAAAATGGATTAAAAAGCAGGTATGTCTTTAAGCGAAGAAAGTTTTGTTGTTTTTACGTAATTTGTTCATTCTTTGTTTCTTGCAACTTCTTCCTGGTAGTTTAAACTTTTTTTCTGTTTTTAAGCTGATTTTCTTTGTAATTTTAGCTCAAATTCTTCTCTGTTCAGCTTTGATATTATTCCGACTTTTCTCTTTTCTGTTCCTACTCTCTGCAAAAGTCAGCTGTTTACAGTTTTGCTACTAAACTCTTTCAGCTTGACTTGGCTTTCAGCAAAATTATTTGGCAATGAGCATTCACGCTACATTTTGGCAGGAAATGCAGTTTCTCTAGTCAGTTAAAAAAAAACCTAGTGCTCAAAACAAACAAAAAACGATCATAAAAAGACAAAAAGTTTAATCAACTGTAAAAGTAGGTGTTTTTCCACAAAAAAACTTTATTGTGGACGAGAAAAAAAAGTTAATTGTTTTTAGATGTGATGGACTCAGCACCAGTGCCAGTCTAGTCCCGTCTAGTTTTAAATCTTATCTGCAAACCTTGGATTAAACAGCAAAATAAAAATGTTCATGTTAGATTTTGAAACATTAAATTCAAAACAAATATCTTTGGTCTTCTAACCTCCATGGTGTTAAATGTTAACGCTCTGCGGCGTCTTCTAACATTTATGACAGCACAAAGTATCTGATATTACCACCATGAGACAATAATCCCTTTTAAGTCACAAGAAATCTGCTTCCCTTTTCCAAAAGTCAGGATTAGCAGAGAAGAGATTCTTAATTCTTCCAAATGAGCTCCATGTATGGACATAAAGCGTGGGATCAGTCAGTCTTTTCTCTCTTCTCTCGACGGGCCTTTCTCTTCAGCTGAAGCGTCTTGAGTTCGGCCATGGTGGAAAAGGTTCTGTACACCCACACCATCTGTCAGAGCCGAAAACGGGAGATTAAAGCTGGTATTTTTCTTGCTTGCGAGTGTTTGTGACATGTTGAGAAATAAAAAAAAGGGTGAAACTCACCACGATGACGACTGCATTGAGCAGAAGAGGAATTGAGTAGACAAGTGATATGAACATGCCTTTAGAGTCAAAGTACTGGAACTCAGAGAAGGACCTGAGAGACAAACGCCAACATTTTTTTTAGTTTGTTAGCTGAGTTTTCCACTGACAAACATGCTTTATTTGAAATAAAAATAAAAGGTAATAAAAAAAAAAGAAATGAATGTTTTACCTCCAGTTCAAGGCAGCCAGCTCATTTAGATATTCAGCGCTGTAAACAAGGCCAGCTGTGGAGAAGTCACATCATGTTAATATCAAGTCAGTCTACAAAATAAAGTCCTTTTGAACAAATGTGAACACAACACCCAAGATTATTACCTATCAGGGCCCATATTTACCAAACTTAGGGAGGATTTTTTAAACTTAAGTGCTGAAAATTTCTTAGATTTTCTCCTACTCTTAAGTGTAAGTGACTTAAGTGTAAGTGACTTCAGTGTAAGTGCCAGTTATCAAAATTATTAAGTCTAAGAATCACTTTTACGCTCAAGAAATGTTAAGACTGCTCCAGAGGACTCTTAAGTGGTTAAGAGCTGCCACTAGGGGTCTCAGTTGGACTGAAGACAGAGAACACAGCTGTCCTCCCTACTAAGTGTTATTCTCAGTTATAAGGTGGAAAACAGGTTTGGTCAGAGATACAAAATAAACAAAGGTAAAAAGAAAAAAAAAGCTGTGCATAATGTTGGACTAAAAGGCAGATATTTGTGTGTGGCTTTTGGAAAAAATATTAAATACACTGAGTGCATGCGACC